TCAACTTATTTTAATTTTAAAGTTTTAAACTTGGAAGTTTTAATTGTTCGTAATTGTCATTTCGTGGGATAAAAAAATGTTCAAACGTGAAAATTGAAAGATTATCCTCCATATCACGTTTGTCCAACAATTTCACTCGCGTGATAATTCCTACGATATCAACAAAAAATAGATTTGTAATATATTGAAATTCTTGCTACGGTTGACACATCGCAGACACGTTTCCTTTTGTTCCATCTATTTTTAACATTATTTATACCGTTACGGATAAAGCAAGCTTACTTAATTAAACACGATTTGTTTTATGCATGATATCGAGATAAATATCGAACACTGGATAACGATTATTACGTGCCCATTACAGCGATATAAATATAATGAAGAAATAAAGAAAAACGTTAATTGCCGGGAATCATGAGCATCGCGGTAATACAATTTCAAGTTGTGATATTCACAATTTTGTTTGTTTTTCGCATTTCACGGATATGCAATTGCCAATTAATTTTTCAAGGAATATTATTGGCATTGATTAATAAAATTAAATACTTTTTTTTTGACACTCCATTAGAAGATACGGCTAGCTTATTAATATTTACTTGAATTAATATTAACTAAATTATAAACCTGTTATTTCTTGTGCAAACAAGAGTGAGAGAATGAATATAGATATGTCTATGAATGATTTAAAAAATACAAAATGTACACGAATATATCATATTAGATCTTTGATTAAATATCTAAAATCTTTTGCACATTCTTTATCTTGGAATATTTATTTAAATATCTATAGTATTAATAACTGTAGTAAGAATGATATTTTACAAATAAAATAGCTATGATTTTTTTATATGATTTTTGTCAAACTGTATATGTAGCTACATCTTGCATAATCGAAGAAATAAATGATAGTTGAAAAATAATAATTAGAAGACGGGTTGAAAATGAATTTGCTATTTACATGCTATTTTAACATGTGATTGAGCATTATCCTGTCACAAAATGACTATTTTTGATCGACTAAAATAAACAATATATTGTAAATATAACTTTTGAAAAATAAACAAAAATAAACATGAAATTTAGAATCATTATGCATAAGCATTCTTCTCTTCTCATTTACCAATAAATGAGTCAAAGTTGACCAAACAACCAGTTTTAAACTGACTGTTTTTAATGATCTTTTGTTATTCATGCGGCAAAAATAGGAATATAGAAAATATACACGTTTAAATACTTGAATTAATATAGTCAAATTGTAAAGTAAAAATTGTATTAATGAAATAAAATAAAAGTGAAGAAGTAAAAGTGATTAATTAAAAAAAAAAAAAAAAACAAAACTTGATCGTAAAAATTAAGAAAAAGCATTCTACACGCAATAAATTTTCTGAACTAAACTGGAATTCGAACCGACTACAATTCTGGATACCCAAAATAGCAAGTAATTTTACAAACTTTCGAAATCCTGATCCGACCAGATCTCCAGAAGATTTATGACATTTTGAATACACATCTAGTGTTAATATATTCGTGGAAGGACGATTCTAAAGATTGAAATGCAAAACTTGTATATAAAAATGCCAGTTAAAGATTATTTATTAGGTTATAAACAATTGAAATATGTGTTGGGTGAAGCAAAATGAAAATAGAGTCTGTCTCTGTCGCATTCTCTGTTCCTCGTTTTATCTAACGCGAATTAAATTGTTTAAAACTTAATAAATAAGGCTCGATCGACATTTCTATATTTTATATTTATATTTATATTTTATATTTATTATTATTTATTATTCGAACCCCATTTTTTTTTAAGAAATTCACCTTATTCGAAAAATTCTGATTGTATTAAAAGTTTATATGTATGTAGAGTGAGATGAATTTTTCATGAAGCAATTTTTTTCTGATAAAATATCAGTTTAAGGAGATGATATCAAAAGTTTTAATACTTTTTCGTTCGTTTGAATATAATCCCGTGGTGATGCGAAATAAAGTAAAATTAAAAAAAAATGTTTCGTTTTCAGTGCTGTGTCGATCTGTCGTTGAAAAATATTGAAATTGAAATCGTATCCAAAATTGAAAAGATAAATTTTGGAGATTGATTTTGCTCACTTCAAATTAATATTCTATATATTGTATTCAACAAGTGAATTTCAAATAATTCTAAATATAAAATTCGAATACTTGTTGAACTGAGCATTGACATTCAAGCTTCAATTATTAAAACATTCTAGCACTTCGAAGTATCTGAGAAAATCTGAAATTTCACGTCACTTTCTTTGTATCGCCATTGTGAAGACGAATAAATTAGATAATGCTTTTGAGATCTCTGAAAAAGATCTCAGAGATTTTTCATTTTAACTTAAGATAAAGAAGTTTAAAAACTAAATATTAGATTGTTGAAAATTATTTGACCGAATTTTTAATTAATTTTTAATTTATTTTAACGTTTGCAGCTTTATTGAAATTAATATTAATTAAAGATTGGTAAAACAATTTCAACCTTATTCACGAGAAGAAAGCAAAATTAAAATTATTAAATTGATTTTCATTAATTACATTTCTCGATTTAAATTTTTAATTATTATTTTTTTTGTTATCTTTTTGAAAACTCTGTTCATGTTAGCAATAATTTTTCTTATATTAGATATTTGAACAAAATTAAGGAATACTAAAACAAATGAATAAAAATTTATACGTTTTTTTTTTTCAAATTATAAGAATTTCCTATCTTAAATACGCACAAGAATTAAATATACATTAGATGTTGAATCGAAGCACAATTATAACCCCGTTTTATAATTTAGAACAATCAATCAAGACAACTGTTTAAACAGCATTCAAATGTTGTTTAAAGTTTCGACTCGATATGTATATTAATTTAGATGATATCATATTAACAATGCAAATATTTAACGATACCCGTATCATACCGATTGAATTCCAAACAATGAAACATTGATCAACAAAGTGATATTGAAAAATAAAACGTTGGATAAAATATTTCAAGAAAAATAATCGCAAGATTCATTTAACGATACAACATTTGAGATTGCTTATCAATACAAATAAATTCATATTTCTACTACATATATACACACACACACATTCACACACTTTGACTCTCACTTAGATCCTATCTTGTTATCGCAAGAAAATTGCGATAACAATGTTTTCACCCCTTCCTATTATTGTAATTAATCCTTCGCCCAAAATCGATCTAACTTCCTTATCGTGCATTCATCAAAATCGGAACATTCCCAAGGAGAATAGCTCGCATCGGATACACCATGATTCGAAGCTTTTAACGTCCTCCGGGTATCCATTCGATAGAAATCAATTACGACATACTTCGTTAGCTCGATTCGCCAAGTTATCTCCCCGAAGGATGGCGAATCGATCGCGCGCAAGTCGTGTCGTGTCGTATCGTGTAAATTCAATTTACGTAATAAAATCGCGCGTCCGCGGTGTCTCGAAGTCAGGAAACGAAACGGGGGAGTACTTACAGGTTTCAACCGGCGACGTCAGAAGCACTACGACTGTGTCACTCACCCGAGCCGCCTCCTCACCCTCGACGAGCTTCATGTTACCCGGATGAGGAAGTCCGAGAGTACTTCCTGCGTTTTGTCCCTGTCGAATCTAGAATCGTATTTTTCTTCTTCTTCTTCTTCTTCAAACCTCGTACATCTAGAGTTTCTATTTTCTCTCCAATTCCAAAATTCTTACGAATCATAATACGAATCAATGTCAATGTGATACTTCGTCCCTCGAAAAAAAGTGTTTCTTTAAGTAATTACACGATCGGAAATAAACGAGTTTATACGGAAATACGATGTGTACTTCGCGAGATTAAAGCCGTGATATTGTACATTTGCACCATTTAGATATTGGTTAGAGCGCGTGTCCGTGTTATTTGAATATCGTATCGATATTCGTAATATCGACGGACCACCGGATCGATATCCGCGAGTTGAATGAAAAATATCGACAATGGGAACAATACGATTTGTTCGATCCTCATTCACGGATTTTCGAAATAAAATCTAGAATCTGTGCTTTTTAAACGAAATATAAAGATTATTTTTCATTCATATTCGATCGGATATGCTCGACCCGTTCATCGCCTTGATTCCGCGTCAGATATAGATGATTATAATTTGCGATGTAAAAATTTTTTTTTATGCCCCATAAGTTTACCGACGCACGGTCGTCAAATAACGCCGACACATTTACCTTGGGTCGAGACACGCACGTCCAGAATCTGGATAGCGATTTGGAGACCGGCCAGCTAGTCTCGATCCTGACCTGCCCTCTTGACATTCCACCGTACGTTTCTCTAGCAAAGAGACGGCGACCGGTACGAGCGAGTGGTACAAGGGATTAGGCCTGAGAAAAAATACAACCGCAATTACAGTGACAAGTTGGGTATACGCCGGTACATAGACAAATGTAGCCTCCTTTTGTTGAAGGCAGTATCCCAAGAAAATCGAAAAAGGCAGTATAACTGTATTGTCGAAAAAAAGTAGAATCTGAGAAATGTATCTATAGTGATAAATAGGCGTTATTTTCCCACTCATTCCCCTCTGTTTAGTCTCTCTCTTTTGTATGTCTGTGAACCATGTGTATTATACAGTTGCATAAGTTATGGCGTTGGGTCATAATGTTCCTCGTCTGATGTCGATTTCCCCATCAAACCCACGTCCCTTTGTGTCAAGGCGCACGTGTCGGGAGAACAGCGAGGCGTTCTCGATCGCAAAAATGTTTTTCCTCGCGATCATGGAAAACGAACGAACAAACGTTTCCGGAAAAGCGTAATATTCGTTCCAATAACTGTATTGTTTTCGGAGAAAATAAGTATACGAACTATTGGCATATTATTTACACGTTGATACAGCATTGAATATTTTAACCGAATGTGAATTTAGTATTATATTTAACTTGTTGGTAAATCAGTTTTCATAACGAAACAATTCGAGTTTGAAATAGTATTGAAATAATATCAAATTTCTCTATTTTTATTGAAAATTGACGTGAGAAAAAATTTATAGAAAAAGTTAACCTAAAAATCCATTTGCACATATTTCGTTCGATTCGCGATCTCGAAATCTCGAATATGTCGGTAATAGAAGCGAGCTAGCAGAAATGCGTGACACATACATTCGAACGAGCGTAAAGCGTGTCATCAATTAGAATTCTTAATTCTTTTCGTCTCCAGTAATGTAATTCGTTGCACGAACACGAGAGCTCTCGGCAGATGAAGTGTCCTCGTAAAAGGGCTTGAAAGCAAGAGAAACACACAGTTCTCTACACATATATGTGTGCGATAGACGTACATAACTATCTTGGTCATCTACTATCGTGCCATCAAAATAAACGCAAGTTTATATAGTTTCGAAATAGCGAAACTACTAACGCTTCGACATACATCGGATAATATATATATTTATCGTTCAATTTTTATATATTTTTCCCGATTTAAAATCTATTAAAATTTTATTCGATATAGAGAAACAAATCACATTATGATACATACATGCATGATGAATTTCGTTAACACTCATTTGTTATTTGCTGAAATGATGAATAAATCAATAGACAATGCCAATAATAATAGATGTTATTAACGGGATAGGAAAAGTTTCGTCACTTGTGAACCGTATAGAATTGGAAAACCGATATTCAGCAGCATCGTTAAAGCAAACGGTTAGTCGAAGTCGAGAAGTATTTAGTGAGCACCACTGCAAAGACTGGACTCGACCGCGTCGAACAGCACGAAGCGTGGAGTCTCTTAGCGAAGGGCAGAGGAATTGGCGAACCGGCGTACATTCTCCGTGTGCGTGCGCCTGTTTCGTAGTACGCGCCACGGCCGCGTTCGCATAGGGGTGCGCTCGCTTCTCCCTCCAGGTGTCCCAACCTAACCTACCCCTACTTCGCAGTGTATCCCTTGGTTCGGCCAATCCCCCCTCCCTCCCCCGACATTATACTCGTCGTCGGTCCGTGCGGTCGGTTCTCCATGCTAGAAATCCCTTCGCCTATCCCCTCCACCTTCGACGATTCCCCCACCAACAAATCGAGGAGGCGAGCGCACAGCTGCCACACTGTGAAGTGCGAGGACTGGAGAGACGCGCAGCGACGCCGTTATCGTCTGGCCGGTCGTTTGGACTAACCTACAAAACTGTCGAGGAAAGAAGAAAGGGGGAGAAACAGTGAGAGAGAAAGAAGGAGAGTGCATGAGAGAGGGAGACAGAGTAGCCGGCGTGCGTTTCTCGTGTTTTCCGGTCTCGCGGTGACTCGCGTCCTATCAATCGTGGGTGCTGTTACCGCGTCAAAGCCGGTCTTGACTGGCAACTCGTCGTTGCTGTCATCACGGCGTTCCTTTCTTTCGTCCCTCCGTTTGCGGAGGCAACGCTAGTCGAATACCGACATAACAGTCCCTTTGTCTCGAACGCTTGGCAGTTGGCTGGTGTGCGGTTTCGCGAAGATTAGCCGGTCGTGGTTGTTTTGGCGGTACCGAGTGGGAACTCGTACGATCGTGTATAGTCGTGGTTATATTATATTTGTATCGTCACGACCTTGAACTTGTGTGCCTACATCAAATCGTGTGCTTGTGTGTGTTTCGTTTAACTTGTGACATCGAAACATAGTGCAAAAAAGAAGGTAGAAGAAAAGGAACTAAGGAGATACTGGTTGAGAACCAAACGACGAGGATCCTGGAAGTGACCGCGTCCAAGAATGTTTCCTTACACGACTTTTCCGGCAGTAGGGTAAGCAAGTGACTAGTTTTTATTTTTTTTCGCGGTTCAAGTCGTTCGACAGCGATTCCCTGTCCTTTTTTTTGTATGTCGCTCACCATACGAAAGACTGGCTTTTCTCTAGCAGCGAATATGCAGTTCGTTCTCCTGCATCTCACACGCTTCGATCATCGTGTTTTCGTATTCATATTCATGCTCATGTTCTCTCTCCTGTCCTCGCGTTAACCCTTTCATCCTGGACTGTTTGTTTTCGTCGTGCTCGACTGTCATGCTCGCTTCGAATCGCTTGATAATGAGCTTCGCGTACATACACGTTGCCTGCGTATTTGATCTTGTGCCCATGCTTATTTCGCGTAGAAAACCGGCCAGAGGAAAAAACGCGTGCAACTGGCATCGCGATACGCGCGCGTGTGTGTATTGTGTGTGTGTGTGTGTGTCGATGTTGCACGTATTCTGAAATGAGAGAAAGAGACGGGACGTACGTTGTGAGCATCGGAGACAGAAAACGCCGGACCGAGAAACAGAAAGAGAAAGAGGAATGTATGCACGTTTCTACGGGATAGGAGGTACGCCCGAACTTCGAGCGCGTCGACGCTTTGTCCTTTCCCCCTTTGCTTCTTCTCTCCCTTTCTCTATCGCACTTTTGCCCTCGCGTATCTCTCCCTCTCTGTCGCTCTTATTGCCTCAATATATGTACTGCGTGCAAACGTGTAGATATGCGCGTGTATACCTACGAGGATTGTGCGGAGCCCTTGCTGGCTGGTTTCAGGAAATCAATCGTGTGCAAACGAGAATGGCTACGAGTAGACTGATTCGAAAGTTGACAGAAAAGTTCACGTGACGAACGACGATACCGGGATCGTTCCGCCATACTGTCTTTTCGCTCAACAGACAGCCAGAGAGAATAGGAGGGGGGGAATGAGAAGAGAGGTTAAATATTGCGAGAAAAGTAAGAAACGTTACAAGATCCATTGAATCGCGATTTGAATCTCGTGAATTGCGTTTCGTTTAATCAAGGGTCTTCTCTGTTGTCCTAGCAATGCAATACACCAATTCGACATGGTTCGCGAGGGGAAGAAAACAGGGAAAGGGAAGTAGCGTGACACAAGAGCCGTTATGCTTGCAGTTAGGTTAGATCCTCGTGATTCCGATATTCTTTAACCTGGTTGTCATGACGATGAAAAAGCAACCGACTATTGGTACTATTAACTAATTGGTAAAGTTAGGTTCCTTTAAATACAAATTTATATTTATTTTAATGAATTTCCGTTTCATAAGTTAGAATGTTAATAATTATGTATAATTGCTGATTATTATAAGTAATTATATATGTATAATTATAAATAATTATATATTATCTAATTTCAGTTCTTAAAAAAATTATTTCAAATAATTATGATATAGCTGTTATAAATAATTACATAATAATAAAATAATTGATTATTTATTTTATATACGTATACGACGATAGATGTGTATTATAGAATTTATCGATATTTTATAATATACATAGATATTGGCGCAAATGAGATAAACGATTATATATTATTTTTGGCATTTTTATCGGAAAAATGAGAATAATTTGCAAATGCCTCAAGTTATATTCGACAATTAAATCTCGATACAAATGACTATGACTTATATCGCACAATCATACGCGATACAAATATATAAATTTACCCTCATTTTCAAATTTTAAATTACGTTAAAGCCATCTTAAAATTCCTGACAATTTTCCAATATTAATATTATATAAAACAAAATTCTCTAATTTAGTAATTCCTTTAAATTTAAAGACAAAGATTTTCGAATCATAAATTAAACGAATGATAATTTGTGCTGCTCTTTTACATTTTATTATTAATAAAAATTGTTTTAAATAATTAGATTTCGATTGTTTCCTCTAAAAATTTATTTTGAATAGGCCATTCTTTCTGTTTTTACTTTGTGAATTGAAAAAAATTTATGTTCAAGGATTGTTTTGTACCGAGTGGGACGGCAGAAAACAAAACTTTTTAGTTTACAGGCGGAGGAAGCTGAACATGGTTGCTCTGACGTACAAGGCTAAAGTTTTAATTGAAACGTAAGCCTCGCTGTTTTCTCCTATTGTTTCAATGAGTCATAATCAGTTGTACCATGAAAAAATGCGTATCTGTGTATCCATCTGATGCGGTATGCATGGACATTAATTATTAGAATTTTTTTTATTAATTCAATAATTCAAATAAACGTGAATAATATCGTAATAAATAAATTAAATGATTTTATTATCTATACACTATGCAAGAGGGTAAAACACGGACGCATAATTGAATAATACGAATGATGCAAATCTCTTCGGTGAGGCTTCCTTGGGAACTGCAACCTCGTCATTGCATTAGTCGAATATTTATCGCGTATTTGTATCATTGATTCGATAAATCATGGAATTGTCGATGTCTGGAATTCACATTTTTGCATAAATATTTCATAATTAATTAACGCGTTGCTCTCTCGTTTATATCCATAGTCATAAAATATATAATTATCGGTTATAATGAATAATAAATTCATACACAAAAATTGTTTGAAAAAAAATTAAAATTGCGTTTCTATTTTCGATATTAATTTTATTTTCAAATTTCGATAAGTTAAAATTAGAATGATATTAACTATTACTAGAATAATATTAAAAATACCTATAATAAAATATAATCAAAAATATTATAATTTCTTATATCAATAAAAATCAATATAAATTACAAAAAAGACAATTTATAAATGTAATAATTTTAGCATCAAAAATTTATAATTTTATTTTACGAAAGAACGTCGTACTGGATTCTTACCAGAAAGTTGACAACCTGTGAACGAAGATTGTCGAAGAGTCCCGAAGGTATCGAAGAAGCACGTCGAAGATTGACCGTGCAATTTTTCGCTTTCGTTCTTTCCTATAATTCCTGGACACGATTCTTTGGCAAAAAACCCATGATAAACGGAGATCAGAGAGCAGCGAGTGAACGTTTGTTTCTCAATGGAAAACGTAGTTTGTAATTAGTTTGGACGATAGGTCGGCCAGTTATATCGAGGAGCGTGCAATTGGTTTTGCTAGAATGGAGAAAGAGAGAGTCTGGTTGCGCGGCGCAGCCGGATGGATGCCGTGTGTGCGGGACAAAGAGAATGAATAAAAGGGATTGAGTCACGTGTTTTCTTCGACCAGTGGATATCCGTCATTGTGCAGTCGATAACCATTGCGGGCAGCTACGATCCACGAATGTTGTGTCAATAAATGTCCATCACTGACATCGTCAGATGCTTTTAAAGCGAGTCTGGCCATCGCCACAACTGCTCGATTATTTGCCTCGGTGGAGAATCGCGCTCGAGGTGCTTTCGATGTCATCGCTGTTCACTTCTGTTGTGACTTCAACATCAGTCCGATAAATATCGGAAATTTTTCTTTGCCTCGCCTTCTTTAAAGACATTATTCCTCCTCTCTGACTTGTTTTGCTTTTTTAATCCTTTGCGCACAGTTGACCGATTTCTCTTTGTAATTTTATTCATTCTTATTTATAATATATATGCGCAAGAGATCAATCAAAATAGTGAATTTTTTTAATCGAAAGGAGAGATTTTATTCGTTCTCGCGACTAATTATCGATTCTGGCAAATTTTATTTTTGATATCTCGATCACATAGCATCGCTCGATACGCGAGATAAGATTGGTTGGCCGTCGGTTCCCGGGACATTGTGTGCAAAAAGTAGCTTAGCAAAGGGAGAGAAATCGACCGACTACCGGTGGTATCCAGTGACAAAGACCTCGGTCGATGCACGTGGTAGCGTACGGTGGCGCACTATCAGGCTTCTCTCTCTCTGGCTTCGCTCCTGTTCCTGTCCTTCTCCTTTTTCCTTACTCCTCTCTTACTCCCATTCCTCTCTTACATTCTGTGTCTCTTACGCTCTGTTCGTAATTCTCTTCTGATCTACAAATGCGAATGAGCTCGACTTCTCTTCTCGATATATATATATGTATACCGGGTGCATCCACAATTTGGCTAATCGAAAGGAATAAATCAATGTCACGAGTTCGGTGGAGAAATTTTATAAGACTGATTTATTGATCTCAAGAATGGAAGCTATTTAATTAGAGACGTTTACGCGAGTTTGCCCTAACACAAATTTCGTTTATGATCAAATGATTTCTCAGAATCGATTCGAAATTTATGACAATATTCTTTTGTATATTCATCATTAAAAATTTGTTATCTTTTATATTGAATATATAATTAATAAAATTAGAAACAATATGAAAATTTTGATATTTAAAATTGATATTTGAAATTAGAAACGTTAATTTATGCTCTCTTTAATTAAATTTTCATTTTGTTCGTTTTGTTTTGACATGGGCGAAATTTAATATAAAATTTCATTTTTTTCAGTGTTATTCGTAAACGAGAGATACAAATTCCATTATATATATAAATACGTAGGAGTTATATAATTATAATTGGCTGCATAATTCGTAGAACTAATGCTTATTTATTGATTAAAAAATACAATCCCCTCTCACGTAACAAATTTTAGATATTAACATGGGACAGAATTCTGTTTGTAAAGAATTAAACACGATGATAACAAACAAAAAGAAGAAAGCAAAGTAAGCACGGTTCAAATCGATACTCATCAAAATAGGGATTTTATATTTTTGCAATTATCAAAAATGTGCAAAATTAATTTGAAACTTTATTGAAACAGAAACATTATATTCGATAAAATACATTTATATGAATATTATAGCTCGAGTGTTTTATCTTTTATTTTTCTACTTTTTGAAGTTCAAATTCGTTATTACATCTCTTTAACCAATTTTCTCACTATTCATTCTCCTCGTACTCGCTTCACAATCGGCTTTTCGGTAAATATATCCGTTTATTCTCATTCACACGTGCAGAATAAAATTGAAAAAAATTCCTTTAAAAACTAAATAAAACTCGGTCAACGTATTCGAACTTTTTCAGAAAAGCTCGCGCAAATT